ACCGTTGAAGCTGAAGGATCCATAGTTCTACCGGTCGAACTAGGATCAGGTGAAAAGACCGTGTGGAAGAAGATGCGGTTCATAGTTGTGGACATCAAATGCGTCCACAACGCAATTCTAGGAAGGCCAGGCATCAATAAAGTCGGGGCGGTGATTTCCATGCCTCATCTATGCATGAAGTTCCACACTCCAGGTGGTGTGGGTGAGGTGAAGGGCGACCAGAGGAACGCCCGGGAATGCTATGCCCGGGCAGTCAAGAAAATGACCAGGGGGGTCAATGTCATCTCCCAAGAGATCACAAAGGGAGAGACCCGGGAGAAACTGGAGCCCGAGGCTGAGACGGTGGAAATCGAACTTCACCCGGGTGATTCTTCGAGGATGGTCAGAATTGGAGCAAATCTCCCCGAGGATCTCAAGGAGCAGATTACACGGGTCCTCCAGGAATACGCGGGCATATTCGCATGGAGCGTGGCGGATATGCCCGGGATAGATCGCCCCGTTATCTGCCACCGGTTGGCCGTGAGGGAGGGAAGTCGACCGGTACGCCAAAAGAAGCGGTACCTGGCCAGTGACCGGCGAGACTTCGTCAAGAAGGAAGTAAAAGACCTCCTCAGTGTTGGTCACATCCGGGAAGTCAAGTACCCGGATTGGGTGGCCAACGTTGTCCTTGCTCCCAAGGGCGACACATGGAGAATGTGTGTGGATTATACGGACTTGAACAAGGCTTGTCCGATGGATTCATACCCCCTCCCCAGTCCAGATCAAATGGTAGACGAAACTGTGGGGTGCGAACTCCTAAGTTTCATGGATGCCTTCAAGGGTTACCACCAAATCTACATGGCCAAGGAAGATGAAGAGAAGACATCATTCCTCACACACGAAGGAACCTACTGCTACCGGGTAATGGCGTTTGGATTGAAGAATTCGGGGGGCAACCTACCAGCGCATGGTGAACAAGTTCTTCAAGCCACTACTGGGAAAGACCATGGAGGCATACGTCGATGACATGCTGATCAAAAGCCAGGTATCTCTGAACCACCCGGCTGATATGCGAGCCACGTTCGATATCATGGCAAGGTACAACCTCCGGCTGAATCCTAATAAATGCGTCTTCGCGGTTCGTACCGGGAAGTTCTTGGGATTCATGGTGACCAAGAGAGGAATAGATCCCAACCCAGAAAAAATCCAGGCTATCACTGAAATGCAGGCCCCTACCTCCGTAAGGGATGTTCAGAAGTTGACCAGTCGTTTAGCAGCCCTCAGCTGGTTCCTTTCCCGGTCAGCTGAGAGGTCCCTGCCCTTCTTCAAAGTTCTGAAGAAGGCCAACGCATTTGCATGGGACGAAGAATGCCGGAGGGCATTCGAGGAGCTGAAAGAGTACCTAGCGTCGGATATTGTGTTGTCTAAACCCGAACCGGGTGAAACTCTATATCTGTACCTGGGAATTTCCCCAAATGCTGTAAGCTCCGTTTTAATAAGAGATGATGGGGCACAAAAGCCCATTTATTATGTGAGCAAAGCACTAAACGGAGCAGAGAGTAGATATACGGCGATGGAAAAGACAGCCCATGCGCTTTTCGTCTCCGCAAAAAAGTTAACATCCTACTTCCAAGCTCACCCAGTAGAAGTCTTGACTGACCAACCGCTGGGTGCAGTGTTGCGAAATTCAACATCCTCCGGGAGGATGGTGAAGTGGGCGATGATGTTAACTCAATTCCACATTGAGTACCGGCCGAGGTCGGCAATCAAGGGACAGGCCCTTGCTGACTTCCTAGTAGAAATGACCGGTCTAACTCCAGACTTACCGGTCAACAAGCCCACTGAGCAATGGTGGGAGATGGCAGTTGATGGGGCATCCGGTCCTAGAGGATACGGGGGTGGTATCGTGTTCACCACCCCAGAAGGGTTCAAGATCTACCATGCAATCGTCTTCAACTTCAAGCTGATGAACAATGAGGCAGAATATAAAGCTTTGGCTGGAGGGCTCCGACTTGCCCAAGCCCTGAAAATCAGCCGGGTCAGTATCAAATCTGACTCTAGCCTGATAGTAGGGCAGGTGACCGGTAACATGGAAGCAAGGGAAGGACGCATGGCACAATACAAGGACCTTGTACTTGCCCTGTTGAAGGGCTTCAGAGAATTCAAGGTCACCCAGATTCCCTGGGCGGAGAACGCGGATGCAGACCTTCTCTCCAAATTGACGCAGTATGCTCCCGAGCATGTTTCGAAACTTGCCCGGGTAGAGATCCTTGACCATTCAAGCATCGAGAAATTGGAAGTCGCCGCTATAACGGCCGGAAGCCAGTTTGACCGGTCAAACTTGGTCGGGGCGGACGACCATTGGATGTATGATCTGATGGAATATTTGACGGATGGGAGCTTACCAGAACAAGATGACCGGGCAAGAAAAGTGAAGCTCAGGGCGCCCCGATTCCAAATTCTTGATGGAAAGCTGTATAAAAGGGCGTTTGGGGGGCCACTCCTGAGATGTCTGACCAACCGGGAGGCTGAACGAGTCATAGCGGAAGTCCACGAAGGCGTATGCGCGGCGCATCAAATGTCCCGTACGCTTTACCAACGCATCATATTGTTGGGATATTACTGGCCAACAATTGTACAGGATTGTGAAAGGTACGTCCAGAAGTGCAGGACGTGCCAAGTATTCTACAAATATCCCGGTAGACCGGCGACCTACTATCACCCCGTATCGAATGTCATCCCATTCGCTAGATTCGGGGTTGATATCATTGGAGCCTTCCCAGTCGCCCAAGGAGGGAAGAAGTTTGTAATCGTAGCCATCGATTACTTCACCAAATGGATCGAGGCCGAAGCATTGGCCAACATTACCACGCAACAATGCAAGAAATTCATTTGGAAGAACATCACCACAAGGTTTGGAGCGCCCATGAACCTCATTAGAGCTGGCAAATCGGTCGGTCAGGTCGGGTTCGGGTTCGGTCACTTTAAGTTTGGGTTATTTCGAGTTCGGGTCAATTCGGGTTCGGGTTGAGAACTCTATGTTCATAACCCAGTGTCATCGGGTTCGGGTCGACCCAACGGGTTATGACTTTGGTTATTTAAATTTTTAAATTCACATTAATAAATTTAAAATATCAAAAAAAAGTATTAAATCTATAAAATTATTTTATTGTAAACTCTAAAGTAGTATTTAGATATAAAAATCAATATAAGGAATTTAAAAATGCTTATGTTTTGGGGAAAAAGTAAGATAATTATGCAATATCATTAAAATTTTGTCTGAAAATATAAATTTATACACTAAAAACGAGTAAAATAGTGTACAATTTTGAAAAATTCTTACTTTA